TATAGAAAATACTCTTAACTGTGGTGTTTCTCTCGTCGTGAAAGGTGTATGAAACAAACCTCTCTCAACTCAGTCACCTTATGCAGCATTGAAGTGTACTTGCAAACTCTCTTGATCTACAAATTTATTATACATTAAAGCATAAGTTAAAAATTAAGAAGTATTTTATATTTAAGAAAAAAAAGAACTACCCTACCGAGTATACCTTAAGAAAGATATACAAGCACCATTTTTGTAAAACCGTATTTCAAACTTGTTTCTTTATCCACCTGAATTTAAATATCTTGTTTCGATGCATATTTGACTGAAGTTATTTTGAAATTTGAATGAAATTAAAAAAAACACGGAGTAAAATTTAAGTATTACTCGTAAAAACTTACTCCATGTGTATCAGACAACATGGAAAATTTTGATTTTTAATAGATTAAAGTGATAGGGAGTGTATATTGGTGTTGAATTTCCAAAAATATCACGGGATATGATGGGTAAAAGTAGAATTTGAGACTCGTCTAAGTGTAATAGAATGGGCAGCACATAAGTTAGAAGCTAAGTGTACATACTAGCTCAGTAAGCTCAGCCACGTGAGCTACATCCATCTTTGGTTCTGCATCCATCTTTGATTCTGCATCCATCTTTGGTTTTGGTGTTCGCATCAAAGTCTTGTCATATTATATTGAAAGTTATACTTGGTTATGCAACATTAAATTTAATTAAATTAAATTTAAAAAAACTCATATTATATGGAGTAAAATACTCGCTCCGTCCCACGAAACATTTCTCTTTTCTTCTTATATTCGTCGCAAAAACTTTTCTCATATCTATTAAAAAATCACGTGTACCCTTAGCAGTAATTAACCTACCTATCAGATCACACTTTTTCACTACTAATCTACCAATCACATTTATTTTTACTTATCATATCCAAAGAAATTTTTGGAAAGTCAACACCAAAATACACTAGCTTCTCTTAAATCTGTTAAAATCAATGTTTTGTTGGACGGAAAGAGTATACATAGTTAATGGTTGAAATAAATCTTACGTGACCAGAGAAGAGCAGTGGTGAGATGGTCGGATACACCCACGAATTTGTTTCCCGCATCGAGCGCTAGCCACCCACCTCTAGAACCCAAAGCTTCAGTTCTTGATTGATTAGTAGATCTTTTGAATTGGTTGATTGTTGTACTTTTGAATCTCTCGAACAAAACTTTCAAGATGTAGTACTTCATCTACAAGATGCAAAAAAAAAAATCCAACATTTATGTCATCCCTAACTAATAAGTTGAATTATTAGGACTACTAGACCCTGTTAATTAATGCAGAGTATGAACCATTACAAAGCAGTTAATACAAACTATAAATTGGTAAAAAAAATACTACAAATTACCACATTCAAAATCACTGTACTATTATTTCAATTATTCTACAAAACAAAATGTAATAAAAATATTTTATTTAAGGTCACTGATCGAAAATAAGCAAACAAATAAAAGTTATAGAAATGACAAAATTTGTAAAGTTTATCTTTAGTACTACCGTGTATATTATGATACATTAAATACTATCTCCGTCCTAGTGTATTCATCTAAAGTCATTTTTCTTAGTTAAACTGAACAAAATTTGAACCTCAATTAAATCACACTACAAGAAAATCGCAAAATTACGACGGAAATTTGCGACGGGTGTACTTCTGTTGTACCCGGTGAAGGCATTTGCGACAGACATTGTCATCGTAAAAGTCGACGACAGAATGTGCGATGGAATGATTATTTCTCGCAAATTTCTAGGCGGGAGACTTGGCGCCAATAAACTGCGACGTCATGTGCGACGGACTGGCCCGTTGCAAACTTATTTTTTTTTATTTAAATAATTTTGTCTACGACGGAAAATTTCCGTTGCAAATATTTTTAAATTTTTTTTTCATGTTTTGCTAAACTACGTCGTGGTTTACACTCGCAAAATTTGTTAGGCTCTGCGACGGAACTTGCGACGATAAATTTCCGTCGCACAGCGATTAGTTTAAAAAAAATATCAGTCTCCTTCCCCCAAATCTGCACAGCGGGTAGAGATAAAGGCAAAGCGGCGGGCAGCGAAGAACCAACGGAAAACTTCGTTCCAGACCCAATTTCTTCAATTCCAAGTAATTGTTTTACATTTTTATTGCAATTTACTTGTTTATTTTCATTAAAATATGATTTATTTTAGAAAAATTCATTTTTAGGGTTATGGTATTGTTTTGGATAAGGTTGAGGTGTTTGGAGGGGGGTTGGGGCTGC